TTCCGAATTTATCGTAATCAATCGGATGTATGTGCTTTTGCGAATGCAAAATTTATGCGTACTTACATGCACTTACACGCAACATGTAATGTTCCATTGTACTTATATTTTACGACAAAAAATTTATCAGGTTGTTTGCATATACAGAATACTGATACACATTCGTATTTGCGAATATAGGACATATCGATCTGTGTTTGCGTTGCGTGGTCGTTAGCAGATACTGAAATCTATCCGCAGTTTACGATTGTGTTTCTATCCGTACCTATACGAATTTGCGTTATATCGTAATTTATACGCATTTGCAAACAGCTGATATATCAATATAAAACTGCCACGCACACCGGATATACGTTTCTATACGCATTGTCGTATGCACAAAATTTATCCGCAATTGCACGTTTTTAAATGTTCTAGATTGTGATTGTATTTGCGAGTACAAGACTTATCGGTTTCTATTTGTGTTTGAGCAAATGTTGTCAGTTAGTATAATCTATCCGCAGTTTACGATCGTAATTTAGCACTTTAGCAGTTAGCACATGTACGTGATTGCGGTACTTTTCCCGAGTGACTTACGGGCTTATTGCCTCTAAAAATTTCTATTGGAAACAATTAGAAACAGTCAGAAACAGATAGAACTTCTAACGAATTTTTATGGACATACTGTTTGAAAAGAATATTCAATTCTTATTCACGTTTCTGTGAGCAACTATTATATCTGCAAATGCAGACAAAAAATGTAATTGGTTTGTTAATAGAAATCTGTCAACGTATTAGCATCTACAAGTTTTTACAGTAGAAAAACTTACCTATTTCTATCTGTATGTATGCAATTTATATGTATCGGATGCTGATGATATCTATCCGCAATTATGGATACCGTACCTATCTGCATCTGTGTACAATGTTAACTTATAGGAATTTGTTTGCAACTACAATTACAATTCCTGTCTGTTCTGGATTGTGTATGCATCGGATGCTGACGGTACCTATCCACAATTACGGATACCGGATTCATCTGCATCTATTATAGATCAACATTGTATACAGGTACAGATGAATACGGTATCCGTAATTACAGATAGATTAGCATTCGATGCATCACAATCCAAACAGAAACAGACAGGAATTGTAATCGTAGTTGTAGACAAATTTCTATAACATTGCACACAGATGCAGATTGGAATGATATCTGTAATTGAGGATAGATATCATCAGCATCCGATACACACAGATAGAAATAGGTAAGTTTTTCTTACGCAAAAGATATAGATGCTAATACATTGATGTATCTCCCCATTAAGCTGATTAGTTGCAAGCTGATCTCAAGTTTGTTGCAACAGCCAATCTGAAGCTTGCATTTTGAAATCAACG